AGAATCTCGATGCGAAGAACCTTGATGCGTCAACTTGTGACCATCCAGATTACAAACAATATCAGCCTTTAAAGTTGCACTGTTGATTATACAATTGACAGCGATTAGATTGAGGACAAGAAGCTACAAATACAAGTGTATAGCATTAATTTTTATGGTAGAGTTGTATATTGATTTCGTATTTCGAAAGACAGAGCGTGTTTCGATGTGAAGAACGTTGACATTAAAAATGTCTAGTTTAAAATAAAACAAAGTCGAACTCTCTAGCTTGTGGTATATTAGAACATCTTGGGAACACTTTGGAACTTGATCTTTGGAAAACTTCTAAACGACGAGACTTGGAGACAAAACAAAATTTTCATTCCTGTAACTCATTGTGCCTAACATTTGTGAAAATTTTGGTCAAGATCGGATGTAAGGTGTCGGAGATAATTTCTGAGAGGGCCTAAGTGATCTGTAACTTTTAAAAATAGATCATCACTTTGTGTCATTTATTGTTATTTTTAAGCTACCCACAGACAATTTTATATGCTGACTTGCTTTGTCCTTCTATTTTATAGAGGGCAATAAATAATGAAAGGCAATGTAATAATTAAAATATTTCTTTGAGTCAAATGCAGATTTACATGGAATTATTTGGATCAAAGGTTAAATAAAAGCTACCTTTGCAATATATTAATCTTTTTTGACAGAGTTACACTGTTCTGTTGTTTACATGTAAAAAACACTTTCTCGTCTATTTATAACATAAATTTTCTCATATGGAGAATAAGAATATACGTAAGTACTTTGTTACCAATAACATCTCGATTAGAAAATTACAATGTTCGAGTAGATTTTAGTTTGACACGTCATTTAAATGGAAGTTCAAAAAGCGTTATTTTTATGTCACGCGGTGCCATTCATAACTCGTCATAATCTAACAACGATGACGTACTAGCGTTGTCTGTATAAAATTTCTTATACATAGTGACTGATGTACCATGAAACTACTCGCCTGCCGACTGAAGTAGTATTATGATCTAAGGAACAAATGTGTTTCAACAACACGTTTGTATTGCTTTGATACCTTACGGTTGACAGCAATGTCTGGATTCTAAAAGCAAATTTATCTTTCAATGATACGATCGTTACTTTGCTAGGATCCTCACTATGTGGTAAAAAAGTGAAATTAAAATGTATGAACTAATATTCAGGATATATATGAAATAGCGATAATAAATGGTCTGAACTTACAAAAAGTTCAAGGAAAAATTAAATGAAATGGTGGAGTGCTGTGCACAAAATCTAACTAAGCTGTAAAATTTTTCGTTATATTTTTTATCGTCTGTCCCGCGGTCTTTCACCATAACCGGGTTGTCGCCGATTTGACGGTTGATATTGAAATTGTTGCTGTTGCTGTTGCTGTTGCTGTGGATAGTGATAGTCATCTCGTTGAGAATTTAATGGAGCAACTTGTTCGTTGTTTATTTTATTCTTGTAATAATAGTAGAGAATTAAAAATAGAATATGAAGGATGAAACACAAGCCCGCAACACCAATCTGAATGTATTCAAACAGAGCTTTAGCCTGAGTGGCACTGTACGTTGAGAAAGGCCCCAATGTATTGAACGTCACGAAAAAGTTTGTCTGTAATGAATAGGTGAAAATCGATGTTGAATTGGCGTTAGTCGCACACGATGGAGTCAACAGACAAGTATTCGGTAAAATTACGAACGCAACGCTGAATGAGATGGCCGCGGCACAAGATAGAAGGCTGATGACAGCAATAACCATGGAGCGAGTAGCAGCCGATTTATTTTTACAACAGCAGACTAAAAGTACAAACAATGTGTTCGTAAGTTCTTAAGATTCTTATTCGTTCACTAAAGCAAAACACAAACGTCGCAAATTTCTAAATTATTCAAGTGCTCTTTCATATCGTTTCTTCGTTTTGAAGGGAGAAGTGTAAGAAATCGTTTGAGCTGGTTAAAATTGTAACGTCTCTTAAAAAACTTCTACGAAAAAATCTATTTGTGACTTACCGGTTGCGAATAATGATAGAGCATGAACTAAAACCAATGCTCCACACCAAAACCCAGCAAAAACGTTGGTTACCCAAAAACCAGCAGCCGCATTTCCAAGTCCCGCTGCGACCAGAACAAGGGCTGCCAGGAACTCGACAATAGCAAGCGTCGTCATAAAGCATTTTGGCCAAACTTTCGCAAACGTAGACATCTTTAGAATCAGTCAATCGAAATATACTGGGCTTCTTTCTATACTGTGTTCAGAATAAATCTGCGTGATTATATGCGTTATATAAAAATAACATGAAAGGAGAGAAATGTTTTGTTAATACAATTAAAAAGCTTTTATTAAGACGAAAAACAACAGTTTGAATTCCTTTGTCAGCTTTCTGTGCGTGATAAAACCCATTAGCGATCTTAACAATAGAGCAGTGTACCTCATCGACATCTAATTGTAAGTGTCCTTCAAGCATTTTAAAAGACTACAACAAACATTACCACGCAATAGTTTTGCTTGATTCAAAAGTTGATCATTTCGTTTGCAACAAAAAATAATGTGCATGTAAAATTAAACCTCACCAAATTAACACTGATGCAAGACTAAATGAAATAGAATGAGTTTCAAGAAACTTTGAATCAAAGATTCGTTTTTTTCAATTATTTATTTGATTTCTCATTACGTTCTATTTGCTAAACAATAGGGATGTTTATTATTTCTTGATGAAAAACTATAAACTAAAAAAATCAAGATAGATTCTAGCATTTTTTGAATGTCTGGTTCTTACGATGTACAGAACCGTTTTGAACCACAGTAAACGTGCGTTTCGAGAAAAGTATTCCATTTTTAGCTATGAGCGTAGAAAAACAGAAAATTCGTAACTTAGTCATAATTTAGTCAAACTCACTTGTTACCTTCAAATACTCGAAGTTAGCTACATATTACAAGTTTATTTTTCTGCAAATACACTATATTCTTCACTACAAATCGGAAAAATGGCAACTTTAACGCTATTTCATTAAAGAAATATTGAAAAAGACAAGCAACATTTTCAAAAAATCTCTAAAAATTTTTGATACTGACTTTTCATCCATGGTTTCTGAAAGTATACACTATAATCGCTCTTATTAATTGTTCGTCGTAAAATCGTACAATTTCCCCCAAAAAATCACTTTTTCTAGCGAGTGAAGCCATCTAAGCCGTCGTAACCCCTTATAAAAGTTATTGACATAAATATTTTTTACTCAAATGTAAATATGCCGTTTATACTGTGTAGTAATACAAAATACAGAGAAAAATGAGCATTAAATCGAAAACGTTTGAGTAAAAGTGAAAGTTTCCTGACTGATATAAATGCAGCCAATGGATTGTGTCAGGTACCTTCTCTGTAACGATGTCTTCAATTATAAATATGATACTTGATCTTGTTCCTGCTTTTTATGACCATTTTGAGTTTTTCGAGCTCGATTAATGCTCAAGATTTCGTGGTATTAGCTACACTTTCGATAGTGGGCATTCTTGGATATTGAAGTTTATTTCTAACTGTTTTCTACATCATAATTCAACAATCTTCTCATAAAGTCGGAACAAGGATAGTCGATTGGTTATTTAAGGAAGTGACGTGTGGTATATCTTTTTCTTTTCTGAGTACCGATGAATTTCAATGTTTATAATGTTTAATGCATAAATATAGACAATAAGGCTGAAATAAATAGTTAGGAGGATGCATGAGTCAATCAGAAAAAAAATGAACGCAATGCATGACAGGTCTGATTTGATTTAAGCTTTACTTATTTTTCTGACGAGAAGAATATGGAAATAGCTTCGAGGCAGATTAAACATTACACTGCCCCGGTGCGTAATACCATTATATCAGTATGAAAGTGGTAGATAGAAGAAAAGAAAAAACAACAACAATGAAAGTAGAAATAAAAACAAAAATTAGAAGACAGGAGAGACAAATAGGAAGATGCAGTAAAGTGACAGTAACAGATTTCTTCATACACACATGCAAATATACCCGTAAGCGAAAAGAAAAATGTAAACTAGAAAACAAACGAATAGAATTGACAAAAATTTTCGTGTTTTTATTTTGAAACTCTTTTTTCTAAAGTGTTTTGATGTATGAATAACATAGCGTTATAAAGTAACTTATATAATTCTTTTCTAGAAAGATCTACGAGAATCAGAAATGATTCTATCGAATAAAAGTTTTGTTCTGAGCAGCAAAACCCAGTCTCGTTGCAGCAAAGAGATAGCCAAACGTAGTGCCAACCACACTTATTATTGACAATGATTTTTTATCAAAAAAGAACAGTTTGTATGGTAGATCAGCTTTCTTCGGATGCCTTTTGATATTTTAATAGAAACAGACAGTACTCTTTAAATTTGATTGAGGCGAGCTATAAGCATTATTTATGTTAGTATATAAAAATTGGACAAATAATAAATATTTCGAAAGCGCTATTTTTGATTTATTTTTAATTTTAGTTACGGAAAGAGTAAAGACTTCAAATCCCACATCATTATGCGAGAAACCATTTAAAACTACTTCAAAATTCGTTGGACTATTTCGTTGCCGTATCATTCTCGGAATGAATGGGGGTCGTGATGTACACCTTTTGTAAAAGGAAAAAATGTCTTGTTGATCCTGTAAACCGTAGGCGAAAGTGCCACAAACAGCGTTGCCACAATCTCACATTTAAAGATTTGTCCCCCCGCAAAAATCTGTCCCCAGGATGTCTCCCTTTTCAAGGATATTTTATTTTGGCCGTCTTCAATAAACTTTGTACTTTTGAATGACAGATCTTTACCGTTTAGTAACTTTTCTTATGTGAGATTTCACATAAGAAAAAGCAATTAACGCAGAATTGAGAATTAGAACGAATACAAATTTAATGCAATAATTCTCATGATTACGATGATTTTGAATAGCAAAGACGTTCCTAATACGAGTAGTCATGGAAGTGAAAATAGAAATACATTAGTAAAAATAACGTTTGAGCTGATTGTTTAGTGCTTTTTGTGTTAAAAAAGATAGTTGTATTAAATTTTATGTTTTGATGTAGTGATGAGGGAAGCCCAATGAACAACAGAAATATTTGATAGAAAAAATAATATATTGTTCTTTTTATTTTTCGATGATATTGTGTGACAAATAATGTGTCTTGCCTTCCTTCGTAGAAAAGAAACCCCCTTATGTCCCCCTTTACCGCTCTCCTTAGTTGGCATCCCTGGTTGCACACGAAACTTAGCAGAGGTGATTTTTAGGAAATCAGTCTTCATAGATCCATGGAAACGGGAAGATTCTGTGAATTTAATCTATATATACGTTCATTAAGATTTAATCACTACTAAATTGTAAAAAGCCTTATGTTTTGTACTTTGCGGCAGAAAACGTGACACCGCGCAAACATATTTTGTGTAAATAGAAATGTTTGAATAATCAAATAAAAACACTGTGACAAAGTGTTGTTGAAAAAGTACATTAAACAAATATGAACAAGAAAGGAAACAGAGAGAATATAAAAACAACAGTGTATAAGAATGCTGAAGAGTGAAAAGTTCTCTAAAAAGAGAAAAGTAAAGAAATGAAAGAACATAATACAATATGTACAGAGCATTTTCTCATAATTATTTCATATTTCTCATATTTTACATAATTATAGCATTTTCTCATATTGCTTACATAATTCAATGCCCTTTACGATATTGGAGAAGTGATAAATATTATATTTGGCAGACCTATGAGAGGGAATAATTTAATTTATTATAAAAACTTAGTAGATTATTCACTCAACAAACTCTCAAAAGATCAAATGACAACTCAGAATATGTTAACTTTTACTTCTAGTTCGTGTCAGAGGGAGGACAGGAGGTAATGTACCATCACTTTCTAGTAAACTTTCCACCAATGATGAGATCTGAGAATGTTCGTATACCAGGATTCCTACTCCTCTTTCGGTCTTCAAACTCGCGCCAAATACTCTGCGAAAGTATGAGTCAAAGTATTGAGGTTCACCATTGTGTATTTCCCAAAATTTGTTGAGCACAAACACTCACTGTTGAAACATACTTGAAGGAATGAGGATGAGAAAATAACAGCCGCTCTTTCTACTGTAGAACAGAGATGGGCAAGTTCAGTATTTTTTCAGTCCTAGTCCAGTTCGAGCCTACTAGAGGCTAAGTCCGAATCAGTCACAGTCAGCCATGCAACTGAAATGTTTCAGTGCCAGTCCAGTCCGCTAAGCTTTAAGTCCGATAGCGACCACAGCATACATTGTTTTCCACTGCCATTCTTTTTCTTCTTTTTATCAGAGAGTAATTGTTGCTTTACATGCCTGTAGTAACAAAAAAAGGCGACAACAAAATTGTTTTGAATGTTAAAAAACAAGAAAGAGACAGGACATTTTATATCAAAAATTCCGAAAGTAACGGATCATGTCGACAAACCGTGCATATTTCACCCTGCCTATCCTTTTTATGTTCATGTTTCGGATCAACAAAAACTTTTATACTTTTCTGTTTGATGTTAAATTATTAACATTAGAAGCTATTATATCTAAACATAAGTTTGAGAAAACTAGAATATTCAGCGCATTTAGTGCAAAGAAACAATCAATCAGCGGAAAAAAACAGCAGTCTTTTGTTTGTAAGTAACTGATCAAAAGTTTTGATCAGAACTAATCTTAACCGACCACTCGGTAACGAGAAAAAGATAAAAGTAAAAGTAAATTCAATTTCTTTATTCTTTTCATCTTTTTCAAACATAAACTGAAAAGTCCAGTCATATATGTGAAAAAAGTCCACGTCTCTTATGTCTTCGGTCCCAGTCCCAGTGTAAAAAAGTGCATCAATTCGGACTTGGACTTGCTCATCTCTGCTATAGAATCTGCATTCAACGTGCATCATAATCATGAAAACCTATGAGGAAGAAGCGCAGGTGAAGCTTTGTCACGAAGAATACACGCGCGCTTTTCACGAAGAAAGAAAGTTTTCAGTAAAATTTTTGTTCGAAAGTCAGTTTCAACAACAGTGAGCTGTCGTGCTTCGTCATTGTTAAAAACGAAAATCATCAATAATAGTAAAGTAATGAAATCTCTCGTAATCAAAAGCATCTCCACCAAGACCAAATCTAAAATCGACAGCAGACAATTTGCCGAAACAAAGAAAGGTTTTGATCGTATAAGGTTCGTTTAGTCAACGTATTGGTTTTAATCTGCAAAAATGATTAATTTAAACTTTTTGGAGATAAAGAAGAAGAGCTCTTATCTATTCAAAAACTATGTTATAATTGTAATCAATAGAAAGAAGAGTTCTTTGGAATTCAAATCAACAACAGAATTTTGTGGAAAAAATATTCCAAATGGCAGATCTGTGTGAATGTTTATTTACATTTCCGACAAGTCTTAGCTTAGAAGTGGATGTGTACATGTCCTCTCTCCATAATCCTGCCGAGTAGCTTTCCTGCAGGATCCCGCCTGCTTTTTCTTACTTTCTACTCGCCAGTTGTTTTCCCTCGAGATTCCGCCCGCTTTCTTCAGATAAGCGTACGGTCAGATTTAATGCAGACCCCTGGCATTACGAAAGCCCGGTAAAAACTAAGGCTTTCGTAAAGATAATGGAAAGGGATTAATGTCTAAGTAGATGCTATGACAGGGCTTCCGTAACACTCTTTAACGGGACTTTCGCAACGAGGTCTGTGTGTACTTGTTACGGTAAAATAGCTGAAGATTAATGTCCTCTAACAGGACTTTCGTAGCAGACTTTTACAGGGCTTTTGTAACGAAGTGTATATTTACTTTTCAAGTTGAAATGATGTGTGTTTGTACTCATTCACTCTCACTGTCTCTATCGTCTGTTTTCTCTTTCATTTACAATAAAAAGTAGCATTCGTTACGAAAGCCCTGTAATAATACAGCATTATCATTCATATCTGGGATAAAAAGTACATATAGACACCGTTACGAAAGTCGTGTGAAAGTGTCTTACGAAGCCCTGTAAGACCATCTACTAGAGATTAATCCCTTCCATTATCGTTACGAAAGTCCTGTTAGTGATCCTAGTAACTGACTATCTCATAGAGAGGATATGATCCGTTTAATAGTGTTACGAAAGTCCTGTAAAACGATGATTTTCGGAACGAAAGCCCTGTAAAAAAAGAAGGATCTGGGTGAAACGCCACTAAGCGTACA